CTCTCTCTCTCTCTCTCTCTCTCTCTCTCTCTCTCTCTCTCTCTCTCTCTCTCTCTCTCTCTCTCTCTCTCTCTCTCTCTCTCTCTCTCGTCTGCTGTGTTTGACGCAGGGGAAACCCGTTTGTCACGTTGGAGCGTTATGGCTCGCGCGGCAAATGAGTTGCGGCCGAACGCAACGGCCTTTTTTGTACCCGTTAGGACCGTTTCCCCTGCGCCACCCCCCAGCAGGCCGCCGTAGGCAGGCACCCTGCGAACGCCCTGCACGGCGCAAAGGGGTTCGCGCGTGTTTTATTAATTAAAAAAAAATAAAAAAAAATGCATGGGGCGGTACCCGACAACGGACACTCCCACCCCACACCTTCACAAAACCCTTACCCCCCCCCCAAAACGCGCGGAAATGTGGTTCGCGGACCCCGTTCATTCGCGTCCAACGCGCGTTCGAACGGGGATTGAACGCGAATTGAACGCACGTTCAATTTTTCAACGCGAAACCCGCGTTGAATTCAATTTCGGACACACAGCCAACACACCATGAATAGGATCTTCCATGACTACTTGGATAAGTTTGTTGTCGTGTACCTCGACGACATATTTATCTTCAGTAGATCTGTCGAGGAGCGTGCTCAGCATGTAGACACGGTACTTTCAGTCCTTTGGCAGCACAAGTATAAGATAAACTCAGAGAAATGCGAGTTTGGTCGCACTCGAATCTTGTACTTCGATAAGGAAGTATCCGCGGATGGGATTAGGCCCGAAGATGCTAAGGTGACTAGCATACGTGACTGGCCACGACCCCAGTCAGTGACTGAGGTCAAATCATTCTTGGGAATGTGTGGTTATTACCGCAATTTCGTAAAGAATTATAGCACGATCACATCTCCCTTGACTGATCTAACTCGACTCGACACACCATGGGACTGGACCGACGAGTGTGAGGCAGCTTTCAAGCGTTTGAAGCATGCTCTCACGCATCACGAAGTTCTCATGGTACCCGACCCGCAAAGGTCATTCGTTGTAACCGCTGACGCAAGCCAATATGGGATTGGCGCAGTGCTGGCTCAGCAGGAAGGGAAGAAGTTGAGACCGATCGAGTACATGAGCAAAAAGATGCCTTCAAAGGAGTTGACAAAGTCCACCTACGAGAGAGAACTCTATGGATACTCTTGTGGCCAGCAATAATGACAAGAGGAACATTTTCGTCATAGTGGACATGTTCACTAAGTACGCTAGACTAATTGCCATGCAAGAGACTGCCAGGACTAAGCACGTCATCAAGTTGTTCATGGACAACTGGGTGCGTGACTTTGGACTTCCAAAGACAATCGTTAGTGACAGAGTTGTGAGATTCACAAGCGAGATGTGGAAGAAGGCCACTAAACAGATGGGCAGCCATCTTCAAATGACTTTTGGGAATCATCCTGAAGCAAATGGGCAGGCTGAACAGATGAACCGAGTGGTGCAGCATCTGCTGAGGCATTACATCAAGCCCAACCAGGATGATGGGGATGAGAAATTACCTCTCATCGCCAGCCTGTACAACAATGTTGTACACAACACCACCGGCGTTAGTCCTAATCAACTACATCTTGGGTGGTAGCCTAGATCTGCTCTAGACTTCCTCCTGCCTGAAAACCGAACTGCTGCAACTCCTGAAACCATTGAATTTGGTGTCCGGTATGAGAAACTGTTGCAGCAAACTGTCGAACACATCAAGAAATCTCAGGAAGCCATGATTGCTTCTGAGAACAAGCGTCTCTACAGTCCACATTTCAGGTAGGGGAACGTGTCCGGGTCAAGGCTAGTGAGTTGGGACAGGAGTTTGGCATCTCTAGGAAACTAATGCCTCAGTATTTCGGTCCCTGGGAAGTCCTAGACATTGTGGGGAATGATTTGGATGGTCCCTCGTACGTCATTCGTATCCCTGGTCACTTACGCACTTACCCTGTTTTCCACGCCTCCAAGCTTGCACCTTTCGCTGAGACAGCACAGTTCCCAACACAGAGATCTATGCTGCCCCCAACCATGGATGGCCACGTGGACGTCGATGACATTCTGGATCACAGAGACATGCCTGTTCCCAAGCCACCTCGCAGAGGAAAACCTCCCAAACCTGCCAGGGAATACAGAGTACATTTCAGGCATCATACAAATCCGAAGGAAGATCGATGGATTTCAAGGGAGGAACTTGTCAAGACAGCTCCTCAGATCGTGGCAGATTAGGAGAAGAAACTGAAGGGGAAGGCACCAGCATGAAGCATCTCAACGGACTTTCGAAGCTAAGGGGGATGGAATGTGAGGAACGAGCCCTCAAGTGGCCCTATCAGACATCACATTGTTCTGGGCTAAGGCCCCAGCAAGCCAAGTGCCCGCCCTAAGTGAAGGTGGGCCTGAATATTCGTCACAGGCCAAATTCGACATTTCCATATGTGGATATTCAGGCTCTCGCAGTGCGTCAGTTGGTTGAGTGAACGTGCGAGCCTCACTAAGCTGCGTCGTACAGTTGGCCCAGGCCACGAAAGTTGTGCCTGGGCATATACACACAAAGCAGGGCCGATACATCGAGAAGCAGGCCGTCGGCCTTTGGGAAAAACAGTACTGCCGACGCATCTATCCGGGGCCCCTACGCTGATACAGCCAACAGCCAGGCCGTGCCCAACTAAAAAGGGCCTCGGCCCTCAACTGTAAGTCTTGGGCCTGGGCACAGGGTCTGGGGCCCAACCGGAAGCTTCTGGAAGCTTCCAGCTAGGCCACACGCAGCATCCCAGAGGCTGACACTTCCATAAAGGAAGTGAGGCAGCCCAGGCCAGGCACAATGGCCAGCGCTGGCAATGCGGAAGTGCTGCTGCGCTTCTGCTTGATGCTGCGCTAATGCCAGGGGCACTAACGGAGCGCTAGGTGGTGAGAGGGGTGTTGCAGGGCAGCGGGGCGCAGGTGCCATAGCCGGGCTGCTAGGCGCTAGGGGGTACAGCGAATGATCGGGTGGTCTTCAGGGAGAGAGGCGCTGTGTGGGGTAATCAAGGTCTGATTGAGGGTGACGAGATACGTACCTGGTACATGAAGAGAGGTCGCCGATGGTGTTGACAGTCATGTACATTGGTCTTCGTGAGCCGAAGTGATCCTGTTGTGTGAACCAGCTGTAGAGTAGGATAGTGTGGTAGAGTAGGCTGGGCGCTGTGCGCCAGACAGAGAGAGCGACTCTGGATACGGTGTTGATGTGGCCTACGGGCTTGGACATTGGCTCAATACTTCATTGTATTGCTCTTAATGGATGGTTTTCTCGGTGCATTTGTACTCTCTACTTGGGATACTACTACTGGTTCAGCTGTGTGATATCGCAACTTGGTTTTATGTATATCACTCACTCTCATATTCCTTGCAACTACCTCCAAGCCTCTTTTTGTTGAGGCGGAGAAGAACGGCGCGCCAGGCTTTTGTTTTGCTGAAGTGCCAGCGCGACGTTCTTTTCTTTCCCTTTTTTGGCTGGCACTGCCAGCCATTTTGGTCTGGTAGCACCATAGCACTATTCACCCGAAAATCATGGAATGCAACACTTTTCTTTTCCTTTGAATTTTGAAGGCAACATTTTGGTGTTTCAAGTATGGCTGTGAAAGGTAGTGGCAGGCAATGGAGAGAAAAAAAAGAAGAACCAATGGTGATGAGAGCCAGCATCGACATTATTGCAATCGTTCAGACTCTTTTTTTGGCTACCATCACTTGGTCTTGTGTCTTTTGTATAGGGGATAATAGGGCAAGTTTTGCAAGGAATATGAGCGAGAGCGATAGATAGAAAACCAAGTTGCAAAATCACGCAGAAGTCCAGATAGTCATGTACCAAGCAGAGAGCATAAATGCACCAATATTCCATCCACATAAGAGCGATACAATAAACT